CCATGTTATATACAATATCAAATAAAGAAATGATGCTTACCTATGAGGGGAAACCCAAAAAAAAAAAAAATAATAATAATACTAAAATCTAATCTTATACAATAAACCTATATTATTTAAAAAACTTTTTGTTATTATTATTAGCTTATTTGTGAAATAATTGGAATTTTTAATTATTATATATTACTTTATTAAGTTTTCCAATTATTAACATAATACCTGTAATTAACTTAACATATTATTAATTGTATTGATATTGACTATTATTTCACTTTGGATATTGAAAAATATAATTTCTTGAATACTTTCAAATAATAATAATTATATAAAGGTTTTTTAAATATATCTAGTCTAATTATCAATCAATAAAAAATGTCAAGTTTGATAATAATAATTATATCAATCTTTTAAAAGAAGTAAATCATTTGTCTTTTTTCTAAAAGACTATAAAAGAAAAAATTTTTTTAAAGTTCATGTCTTAAAAGAAAATAGAAAAAGGTCTAGAGAGAAAAATCTAATTTTGACAAGAAAAAAAAAAAAAAGAAGAATATAAAGTAAGGGAAAAATAAGAGAAAATAAATAAAAAGATATAAAAAAGAAAAAATAAGAAAAAAAAATAAACAACTCAAAAATTTTCTAAAAATAAAATTTTCAAGTACAGAAAAAGAAGTTTTTTTTTCTCTACATTGACATTCTTTATGTAGAATTTTCAATATAATAATAACTTAATGTTTGCTTATTTACAATAAAATATGTATACAGAGATATCTCCCTAAATGCACCCTCTATAAATGCACTTACTATATTTTTTCTCTCTAAATGCACAGTCAAGCTTGGTCCCAAGTACATAGAACTCTTAATAAAATTATCTCTATAAATGCACATTTTTCAAAATTTTTCCTATGGTCCCGAGGAGTGTGCATTTAGAGAGGGTTCACTGTATACAGTATAACTACTTTATTACTATTATTTGTATTAGTGAGAACTCTATTAGGATAAGCAGAATCAGTATTATTAACAAATATAGTTATAAAAATAATTGTTCTTTTTAAAATTTATTATGACTTGATTTAAAGAAAAGATTATTATCTGCAATTCACGAACACATTTTAATTGGATGGCTATCTTATAATTAAAACAGTATGATTTTTACTTTCTATGAAAGATGAATTGGACGCGTACACGTTTGCCAATTCTTTGTGGACTAGTTACTCGCAAACTTTCACCTAGATTTTCTCTATATGGGCATACAGTAAAAAGAGGAATCAATATAATACGAGTGACAACAGTCAAAAATACACATGAAGCAAAAAGGTTAGACTCTTTACCATTGATATACAAACGCGAATTATCTACTGGAGATTCTCAAGATGTAATTCATTTTCCGTGGAAAATGGCTGCGCTCATGTTAATGGGAATTCCTTTTTCAGTATATCTTTATAAGGTAATATCCATTTAATGTATGTGACTTTACTGTTCTTTGCGAAATTTACAATTTGATACTTCATAGTGTATCATGCTAGTGTTATTCCAGAACAAGTTAATATATATGCCATCCTTTCCATTGGGAAGTCGAAGTATGTCGTTTGATGAAATACCTATCGATGAACGGTTGGATTGTCAAAAAGTCGTTGTCGATACTAAGGATAAACATAAACTATTTGGAATTATTGTAAAACACAAATTCTCAAGCAAACACAACGACCTGGATCCAATTTTGATCTACTTTCAAGGGTAAGGCGTGTTCCTTGTCGGATGTTATATTTTTTTCACGTGAATAAATTTATGTTGTATTATGTGTAGTAATGCTGGTAACGTCCTTGCACGCATACCAATCTTTTCGCGAATTTTGTTATCCTCTTCGAAGGGTTCGGTCTCGAATTTGCAAATAATTGCCATAAGTTATAGAGGATACTGGTTATCAACAGGGTCGCCTTCTGAAGTCGGCATTCAGAAAGATTCGATGTCAATTTATGAGTTTGTGCGTGAAGTCTACCCGAAAAATCCAATCTATATTTATGGACATTCTTTGGGAGGCGCAGTCGCCCTCCATTTAGCTTCTGACCCTCGCGTCCAAAAGGACCTGAAAGGCATCATAATTGAAAATACCTTTACTTCTATCGAGGATATGGTCACCACTATATATCCACAAAAATGGTTGCCTTATCGCTATTTAGTCCACATTCCATTATTATTACGTAATAAGTGGGATAATAAACGCGTTATTCGGGAAATAAGTACACCCATTATGTTTTTGTCATCAAAAAAGGATGAGCTTGTGCCACAGGATCAAATGAGGGAATTACACGAATTGTCTCGAACGTCCAAGGTTTGGGTCGAGTTCAAAAATGCTTTACATGAGGATATATTTTTCCACAGAGGATACTGTGAAGCGATTTATCAGTTTATCAATGAAACAAAACTTTAATGTTATAATACAATTAAGTATTACAAAATTCCAATATAGAGCGTATTCAAAGTTTGATTAAAGATAATTAAAAAAATTGAAGAATTAAAATTTACAGGAATCTAAGTTGTATACAATAAATATAGTATGTGTGGGTTGGTATCGGTGATTAAGGGCTTCGTTGTATAACTTTTGCGAAGAAAAACATGCCACATATCCAAAGGAAAATCCGTGACTGCCTTAGGGAGTATTGGATAAGCAATAGTGAATAATCAATTCACATTCTAAGCATCACTCAATTGCCGTTAACTGATATTTTTCGTAATCGAATTTGGTATTATTCCATTACTTATCCCACCACCATTCCCTATATCAAGATTTCCCAAGCATTTCATTAAAGCTTCCAGCTCATTCCTGAAACCCTTTATTTCAGAATTTTTCTTGTCAATTATAGCACCCCATTTTGCCCTCCAACGTTCTAATTGTAACTCCCCTTGGCGTTTAGTATCGGCTATCACTTCTTGTAATTCCTTCTCTCTTTTAAGGAAGCGGGCTTCCATCTCAGAGATCTGCAATCCTAGGGCTTCAAGTTGAACTGCTGTAGGTGTAGATTTCGCATTGGGTTCCAAAGGAGTATATTTAGGTGGTGCATCGTCAATTTTTCCATTTGACTGCTGACAACATATTGAGAGAGCTTGCCTCATTAATACATTTTCCTCATGGAGTTTCTGAATTATTTGTTTAGCATTTTCATTAAGGCCTGCGAATTCCTTTATATCTATAGCATCATCGTCGAATAACTTTCCCGTATGTTTTTCATTTATCTGACCCTTTTTGACCGTAGGAACCACATGAGCAAGTAGCTCGCGCTGCCTTTCAACGACGTGTTCCAAACCAGCACATCTTCCTTTCCACACACTGACTTCAGCATCTTTCTCCATTGCCAATTTTCTTAATCCTGATTCGTCTTCGTCGGTGGCGAGATTGTATTTGTTATTTTGTTGTAAAATGGTCAATGTATTTTCGTGAACTGCTTGTCTTACGGCTTCCGAAGTTTTCAATTGAGTTCTCAGCGTAATGTTTTCCGCAGTAAGCGACTCGATTTGACTACGGAGTTTTCTGAGATCAGAGCTGGATGACTGGTCATCTGATGGAGGGTTTGACGGTTTCTGTTCAGTCGATGTTGGAGGCTTTGGTTCATTTGATACAAGTTTACTTTCATCATTTTCCATAGTAGATTCTTTTTCGGAGAGAGTTGCAGAATTATTGGTCTTTCGTGCTGCTTTCCTCTCTAATTGTAATAGCTCTTGTAACTGCTGAACCTGGGTTTTGAGCTGTTTAACCGTTGTATCGTATCCGCTTCCCCATGACATTTTTTCCCTTGAAATTGCTAATAATTTTGATTCAGCATCTGTAGCTCTTTGATGTGCTGCATCTCGTTGCATTGTCCTCTCAACAATGGTCCTTTCTAATTGTGCAATAAGCTTTTCTATCACTGAAAATTCTCCATCGTCACCAAGACCTCCAAAAAGACCCATAATATCACTGGTAATTGGTAGTGAGGAAAGGTCACCTAATTCGTCACCAGGTAAAGCATCGTTAAGGTATTTCAAAGCATTACTGTTATTTGGAATAGAATCATCATTAGATACTGAAGCCGGTGGTGGACTTGCACCGGCTACTCCCTGAGCCTGAGCTTGTGTACGTTCAATTAACTGTTCAAATTCTTCAGTTTTTTCAAGATAAGCATTTTGATAGTACTCTAATTGCTCTTCCTTCCTCTTAAGCTTCGCAACCAATTCTTCGATAATGCTTTGCTTATTGTTCAATTCTTTTAGAAGATTTGGATCAGTAACTACTGGTGGAGGATTAGGTGTAGTGACTTTTTCTTCTTCGTTGGTCTCTAATGTATCCGATTGAATTAGCATTACTAATTCCTCCATCTCGTGCATTTTACGGTCATGTTGTTCCTTGTATTCAGCATGTTCTTTCTTAAGACTATCTATTGTTTCCTCTAGTCTGGTTTTTATTTCCTTCGCTAGCTTCAACTCGTCTTCTAACTTTTCCGCTAATTCTCGAGATGAGTTACTTTCTTCTTCAAGTTTCATAACCTTCTCTCTTAATTCGATGACTTCTTCGCTGTCAAACAAGCTATCGTCATGAAGATCTGTCTTACTACTGAATGCGCTCACACTAGATTGCATGGAGGGAGTAGGACTCACAGTACGACTAATGGAACTCGCTCGAGACTTGCTCATAGATGAGCGTGATGGGCTTCTTCTCAGAGTTTTGGTTGTGGGAGAGCGGGGTGAACGAGTTTCAGTGCTACCATATCCATAAGTGTCCTTTGAAACTTCGCTTGTAGACTTGCGCCTTTTTTTCGGTGGTAGAATGTTAGTCCTTCGTAAATCTGTACAGATTTTTGTTACTTCGGAAGTGTTTATTAGATCCTCAATTTTTTCTAGTGCGCTCTGTAATTTACGGAAACGTTGTTCTTTGGCTTCCTTGGAGGTAGCATCCTTCTTCACTTTCTCAATTTGTGATTCATATGTGAATTTCATCATGTTCATTTCTTCTGTTAAATTCTCGAGAGATTCTGTTTTTGATCGTGTTATTTCTTCGACTTCGTCCCGAGCTTTAGATAATTGATGTTCTAAATCATCGACTTTGATCATATATTCACTATCCCTATCCCTTAGTACACTTAATTCTTTTTTCAATTCCTCCATTTCTTTCAACGCAATGTCTTTAAAATCATGTGATTTCTCTTTTTCCCTTAATCTTTCAATTTCTTTTTTCATATCCTCTATTTGTTGCGCGGCACCCTCAGGTAAGGACTCCTGAGATTCTTTCTCATGTAGTAATTCCTTTAACTTCTCATTTTCCTTGTGCAATTCGCTAATATTGGAATGTTGCTCCTCCTGTTCCCTATCAGCAGACCTTAACTTTTCATTCATGCTTTTTAATTCGTTCATTAATTTATCGTTTTCCTTTTGATATCCACTAATCAAAACTTCCTGATCTTCGATCTCTCTTTCAATGCGAATTAAGTCTTCTTGATTGAGAGCGAGAGGTTCCTGTTGCTGTATAATAATGTCCTTAAGGTCTGCCTCGTAATCTTGAATCTTATTACCGGCTTCCCATAATTCGTTCTTTAAACAATCGATCTCTTCTTCTTTAGCAGCAAGAATATGCCACAACTCTTGGTTTTTCTTTAGAAGGTGTGATTTTTCTGCAAGTGCCACAGTCGAATCTTGGTATCTTTTCGAGAATTCACCAAGGGCATCTTGAAATTGTGCCGATATTTCATCCAACTCATTAGATATTTCCACGGTTTTTAGGGGTGATTTGGAGTTCCGTTGGTAATCATCCGATGTATCGGAAGGATTTTTTGGGTGAATTCTAACATTCGCGCGACGAATCACAGTTCGTTTTTTAGTATATCGTGGGGAAGCTGGAGATCTTACCACATATCTTTGTTCTTTACGCGGTTTCCCGATGTTTGTATCGATAGATATGTCAGGCACTTTCTTAGAATTGTCAGCTTCATTGGAAACGATGCCTTTACTGGTGGTTTTTTCGTCCAGGCTGGAAGCAGCAGCACTATTATGATTAAGTTCTTTTGATTCGGATGAAAAGGTTTCATTGTAGACCGTGCTACCTGATGTACCATTCATATCGCGATTATTTTCTGCTTTTGTTGAACTCGAATCTCCAGTATGAATACCTATTAAACTTGCCAGACGAGTTGGTAAAGACATACGCGATGGAGGACGATTTTTTGTCGTGTCTTCTGAATTTTTCGCAGTTTCAATTTGTTGCGACTTGTCATCTTTTTTGAGTCTTGCCTGTTCGTCGATCCAATCATCGGCGGTGAATCCCGAATCTTGTCTTGATTCGAGTCTAGCTTCTTCATACGCGTTGTTACCTTGCCTGCTTTCTACTACATGATCGTACTCATCTGCCGTCGTTATCGAATATTTTTTCGAATCCATTGACCTATGTATATGATTAATCTCAGTCTCGTCGTTCTTATGGCTTTCACCACCTTTCGACCGTTGCACATCTGATTTTCTCGAGGAGTTTGACGAACCACTTTCCAAAGCACGGGTCGCAGCCTTCAATCTAGCTTCTCTCAATATTTCATCTACCATAGAACGTGATACATTGGGTTTCTTTCTGTGTTCATTAATAGTACTGCTTGAGGATCTTACAGAACTGATAATGCTTTGAGTTTCTGGGGACAGACTTGAAAGGAAAGCCCTCGAATCCTCGCTAATCGTTACGGGATTATTTAGTTTTTTGCCTTGTATCGACGAGGAATGTTTATCAGATGAATCGAAATGTTTGCCTTTTCTTAATGTCGTGCTAGCACTTGATAATGAAGAAGTGTCCTCGGAATCCATGTCCTGTAGTGTAGCAGGGCGACCTATTGCTGGTCCGAAATAATTTTTTGCCAAGAAAGAATTGTTTTCTTCTAAAAAAAGGCCTTCGCCGTTGCGATCGTCGGATTCTACTTGCCGTTTTGGATATTGAGTCTGCGAACTTTTGCTTTGCTGACCAAGATCGCCCATTTATTTGCAGCCGATTGAGTTCTAAGGAAAAAGAGAACCCAATGCTATGGATGATTGTTATTCTAAAGTACGTTTACTTCTCAACCGACCTATAGGTAGACGCGTGAAAGCCTTATGTAAGTGAACATATATATCAAATATCACTTTATATAAATATAGTCAAAACATGGTGTTACGTATCGATCTATGATAAAGACAATTTGAGTGAAAAAAAAAATATTGGGCGTATTCCCAAGGCGTCGGCCATAACACAAAAACGTCCAAATTAATGCATGGCTGATGCAGATTTTTTTTAGATCATCAAGTGGATTCATGTGATACACGATAAAAAAATAATAAAATGGTCTTCTTTCAGCATTTTTCTCGTGGGTCTCACAACAATTTACGGGTTTTGGCTTTTCAACTGAATCCTAGAAGCATTCGAAGACGTAACCAATTTTCATTCTCAGAGAAACTATATACCACCAACACACACGAGCCGAATGGAAAGAACACCGAAGCAAAATGTAAAGCTCCATTGACAGAAGCGCAAAAAAAACTTATTAAAAGTATGATTAGAGTTGATCAAGCGGGAGAAATTGGGGCAAATTGGATTTACAAGGGACAAATGGCTATATTGGGTGACGACAAAAGAGTAGGACCTGTGATCCAGGTGTGTGATAATTTATTGACAGCACAGAAATTGATATTTCCTTTAAAGAATATTCTTCATGCTGTATGTTAGAATATGTGGGATCAAGAGAAACATCATCTTCAAACATTCGATGAGATTATTGTTCGTTATAGAGTAAGGCCGACATTACTGCGTCCATTATGGGAAGCAGCGGGTTTTATCCTGGGTGCTGGCACTGCCCTGATGGGTAAAGAGGCAGCCATGGCCTGTACAGAAGCAGTTGAAACCGTAATTGGCGAACATTACAATGAGTAAATTTTATTATTATGTCAGATAAGATTTGATGCATACATTACGCACAGAATAATGATTTGTGTTGATCGACAGTCAATTGCGAGAGTTATTGCATATTGACAATGAGGAAGTTGAGGATCTGAAAAAGGTTTTTATTATTTATTTTATATGCACATAAATATCATTTTAAAATGATTAATTTAAACTTTGCATTTTGCAAAAGATAATTAAAGAATTTCGTGATGACGAATTGCATCATTTGGATATCGCTGTAGATCACGAAGCTCAAAAGGTTTCTTATTATTTATAATAAAAAACTTTTTTTTTTTTCTTTTATTGCTAAGGTTTTTTATTTTACAAACTTTTTAGGCGCCGCTTTATGACCCACTATCTGTAATAATACATAATGGATGCAAAGCGGCTATTTGGATATCAACCAGAATCTGACTATATCTTAAAACAATTCATTGTTTATTGATAAAATAATAATCGTTCTGTGATATTTCTAAAATAAATGTTATTTACAAAATTGCTTGATTAATTAAAAATAATAAAGATTGACTTATCAAATCATGCAAAAATATAATTCATTTAGAATAATTTGATAAAAAAAATTTTTTTATAACAGAATATTTTAAATATAAGACCATTCAGTAATTTATCTAAAGTCACGTTTTTGCTGTCATGTAACTTTCAAAAAAAATTAAGCCACAAACTTCGTACTACCTGAGTCGACCAATCGCATTTTTTTTTTTTATTATTTAACTATTTAATCATTTTGTTAAATAGTAAAAAAAAAAATAGTTAAACAGATTTTAAACATGGAAGAACTATTGATTTTTATAAAGTTAATAATTTGAAAAAAGCAATAATAAAATGAAATTTCATAAATTTGATATTATTTTTATTATTTTAAAAAGAAAATGTTTAAAAAAAATAAATTAATATAATAAATATTATCTTAAAATAATAATAATAATAAAATTGTTACATATATACAGCGGTGATTAAAATTTTTTGGACAAAAATAATTTTTACTTAATTAATTATATTTCAATGATTATTTAAAGAAATTAAATAAAAAATTGGTTATATGTATATACAGTTCCGGCAAAAAAAAATGACATTTTTTTTAATTTGAAAAAAATTAAATTAAAAAAAACTTTTTTTATTATAATAATATTAATATTAATTAAAAATAAATCTATTAGTATTGTAAAATAATAAAAATATTTTTTTAA